GCCGCAGCGCCGCCCCCCGCGCTCACCTCCTCCATCCCCCGCACCATGTCGCCGAGCTGCGCCTCGTCCTCCAGCAGCTCGTGCAACTGCACCAGCGACAGCCCCGCAAAGCGCACCTCACACCCGGCTCCAGCCATCCCCACAGCTCTGCCGACTCCGCTCAGGCCTCTAGGCTCCGCCGACCGGAAGCGCCGCCCTCAGGCCCCGCCCCCGCGGGGCACGTGACACCAGCGCTGGGTGTGACGTCATCGGCCCAGCTCAGGAGGGACCAGAGGGATGCTGGACACCTTGTGACGGTGTCAACGGGGTCATGATGTCACTGCGGTGCAGTGAGTACGACGTGATGTCATAAGAGCCTTTTTCCCCCTCAAGGAAAAGACTGAGAACCAAAGACAGTAGAGAGAAGAAAGTGTCTGCAGCCTGTATGAGCCCAGGCTGGAACCTGGAGCCCCGAAGGAGATAAAATGCGAAGCACATCCAGAGGCCGTCAGGTCTCTGTAAATCGTGGGGCTGCAGTCATTGGTTTAGCAAACCCTTGTTGAGATCTGCGCGTGCCAGGCATCGAGAGTACAGGTCTTGTTAAAATGTGTTAAGCCGGGTGTGGTGGCACACGCCTTTAATCCCAGCACTCAGGAGGCAGAGGCAGGCGGGTATCTGTAAGTTCAAGGCCAGCCTGGTCTACATAGTGAGTTCCAGGACAGCTGGGGCTACAGGGAGACCCTGTCTCAAAAACTCCAAAAAAAAAAAATGTGTTACTAAATTCTTGTTTTTCACTCTAGCCCAGGCTGACCTGGAACGTATGCGTAGCCCAGGCTGCCCTCAAACTCACAGGGATTCTCCCATTTCACCCTCTCAAGTGCTGGGATTACAGATATGACCCATCATGCCGTAACAAGTGCACAGTTCTGAATAAAACAAGAGACCCCAGGTTTTCCCCAGCACCCCACCTTTGAGGGGCTGGCAGGGGACCCAAACAAAAGGGACAAAATGGTTATGCACCAGGAAAGTGCCAAGGACCGTGGTACTAAAATAAAGACTAATAGAGAACTTCTTTAGTAAGGCAGCTTCTAAGGCAAGCTGAAGGGAGGAAGCAGCCGCCGTTCCTATAGGAAGCTCAAGCACCAAGTCCAGCAAAGGCCTGGAGACAGGATCAGCATGAGCATTTCAGGAATGGGAAGAAAGTCATTGTGGAGTCCTGCAGAGCTCCAAGCAAGGACAAGTGTGGGTTGGCCCTCTGACCACACATCCAAGTTGGCTAAGCTGGGCTCTCACAGAGATAACAGGATTTACCCTGCGACTGCTCAGCTACCTGGTGATCTCTGGAGATGGAGGAATCTGGGAACTCATAACTGTGCTTTGAGATCTGTCACAGTTCTAGTTGGAAGAAACTTAGAGAAACTGAGGCAAGTTAGGGTTTGTTTTTTCCCCCTCAAGTCAAGTAATAGGCAGGTCTCCTGGCTCCCAAGCTGGCATCCACTACAGTGACATCATGCCATACTGATCTTGTTCCATCACTGGCTGAACACAGTGAGGCATTCAGCAGATGCTTATTGGCTGACTGGTGGCTTGTGTGCCTGAAGATGAGGCTTCTGTGATGAGGTCTGAGCTGTCTACCTGTGCATTTGACTAGGTTCCACTGACCCAGTCTCATCTTCCAGCCCTGGTGCTAAGGGCAGCTACACAAAGTTAGAAGTGTTTCATTTTAACTCTAAGCAAAAGGATTTACTGAATTCAAAAAGGACAATGTTCGTTTTCTTCTTTTTAACTTATTTATTGTTCTTGGTCAGAAATATGACCCTGAAGAGAAAAAAAAATATTAAAAAAAACTACTGAAGAGGGTGTAGGAGGCTGAATTTGTTTGTGGGTATTTCATTTTATCTTTTTCTCCCAGAAAAGAATAGACATACCTGAGAATTACAGCTATACTTTCAGGAAATTTCAACCTATAAGGTTTAAGATAGTCAGAACTCAGAGAAATGAGCCATTTTCACCAAGAACATAGAATTGGAGCAAGCCTGGAAGCCCGAGGTAACAGCATGCACCTGCAATCCCAGTGTTTGGGAGGTGGAGGCAGGAGGATCAGGAGTTTAAGGCCAGACTGGGTTGCCTGAGACCCTACCTTTAAAATTAAAAACAAAGGCTGGGTTTGGTGGCACACACCTTTAGTCTCAGCACTTGGGAGGCAGAAGCAGGCTGATCTTTGTGAGTTGAAGGCCAGCCTGGTCTACATAGTGAGTTCAGGTCAGCTGGGACTACAGGGAGACCCTGTCTCAAAAAGACAAAAAAAATTAAAAACAAAAACAAAAAACAGGGCCAGCATGCCTTTAATTCCAGTACTCAGGAGGCAGAGGCAGGTGGAGCTCTGAGTTCAAGGCCAACCTGGTCTATATAATGAGTTTCAGGCCAGTGGGGGCTACTTAGTGAGACTCTGTCTCCAAAATAAAATAAAATAAACTAGCACAAGCCCAGCTTCTGAATAGCCCAGCTGTGCACAATGACAACTGTGGGGCAACTGAGGCCCAGACCCCACACCCAGCCTTGCTGGTCCTTTCTTGGCTTCTCACACCTGCCTCTTTGCCACCAGACTGTTCAAGTCACAGACCGCTTCCTTTGTCAGAGCAAACCACAGAATCATCTCGTTTTCTGCTGCGCTAAAAGTTTCTCACCACTCTTGAAAGTAGCTGAAAGAAAAGAAATGCATTGTGGAGATTCCAGGCTCTGGCAGCAGCCCTCCTTATGGAACGCACGGGTCAACTTGCACACTTACTCTTGTTTTAGTTGTGATTTCTGAGTTTCTTATCTCACCTATGACTCTTGTAAGGCTTGTGGGTTGATAAGGATTTTGCCCTGATGAATCAAGGACAACCTATGTATATGCCTGCCAGGGTCAGCTCTCAAAGGGAACATTGTTGCTGTGTAAGCCAGAGAGCTCCTATTACACAATATCAGGAATTGTTAGGAAAGCACACAATATTTTCAAAGGGTTGGGGGATCATCCCAAAACTAAACCATAAGATGGCCTAACATTGGAAATAGAATTCTTTCTTTCCAATGGTCACTGGTAAAATTATTCGCAAGTGGATTCCAGCTGGAAGCCAGGTATGGTGGTTCATGCCTGTAATCTCAGCACTTGAGAGTCCAAGGCAGGAGGATTGCTGTGAGTTCCAGGCCAGCCTGGGCTATAGTGTAAAACCTTGCCTCAAAAAGAAAAACCTAGTTTCTGGTTGGAGATGTTGGGAGGACATGTGCTAACATGGGCAGAGGGTGTGTGTGGCACATGCTTCCCTGTGTATAGGCACTGGAGGAATGACTCCCCAAGGCATCAGGTGCAAGAGCCTCACCCTATGGGGACTCACAGCCTGACATCACCCTCACTGTCATGCTAGTCATCCAGAAGAAAAAATAAAGTAGATACAGTTCTGGCTTTGGAGAGTCGGAAAAGACTGTCAAACAGCAGAAGATTTTAATGACTAGGTTGATGTTATCAGGGTGTGTCCTGAATGTAGAGGACAGAAGGTTGCTGGGGGCTCCTTTTGAGGTTTGGGCTTTCTGAGACAAGATCTCACTGTGTAGCCCAACCTGGCCTCAAATTTGAGGCGAGTCTCCTTCATCAGCCTCCTCAGTGCTGGGATTACCAGGGTGTGCCACCACATCTAACTCAAGCTTGGTTATTTTGATTTGAGACTTTGTCTTTTTTTTTCTTTTCCTTATTTAGTGTTGTTCTTATATGGGATTAGCTGAATGGATGCTTTGGCATACTGAAATAGAAAACATCTGAACACACTAAACACCTTCCTCCTCAATCCCTTTTCCTTTCTCCTACTTTTTATTTTGTGTGTGTGTGTGTGTGTGTATACACCACGTATGGGGAAGTGCTCACAGAGACCAGGAGAGCTGGAGCTGGTGTTACTGGCAGTTGTGAGCTGCCCGATGTGGGCGCTGGGAATTAAACTCAGGTCCTTTGGAGGAACAGCAAGCACTCTTAACTACTGAGCCATCTCTCCAGCCCATGCTTTCTTCCTCTTCAGAGAATAACTATGATCCTTTTTCCTTACTTTTCCTGGTATGTACACATCCATTAATGTGTGTGTGCACGCACGCATGGCACATGTGAGAACACAGTGACAAGTGATTCTCATTTACCTGTTTTGAGGCTGAGTCCCTAGTTCTTTCCACTGCTATATTTCATACTCCAGGCTAGCTGGCCTGGCCTATGAGTTTCCAGAAGACTCCCCTGTCTTTGCCTCCCATCTTGCCCTAAGAGTTCTGGGAGTACAAATGCCAGCTACATCCAGCTTTTTTTTTTTTTTTTTGGTGTTTTTTGAGGCAGGGTCTCCCTCTAGCCCCAGCTGGCCTAGACTCACTATGGAGACCAGGCTGGCCTCAAACTCACAGAGATCCGCCTGCCTCTGCCTCCCGAGTGCTAGGATTAAAGGCATGTGCCACCATGCCCGGCTAGCTTTTTTTTTTTTTTTTTTTTTTTTTAAATGTATGTTCCAGTAAATCGAACTCAGGTTCTGAGCCACTTTGACCATTTCACTGGTCCTTTCTTTTTCTATTTTTTTAGATGGAGGGAGGAGATAAGATCATCCTATGTAGCCATGGCTTGCCTGGAATTTGTTATGTAGCCCCGGCTGGCCTTGAACTTACATGTATTTCTCCTGTCTCTACTTCCCAAGTGTTGGACTAGAGACCTGTGCCACTATACCATTTTAATCATTCTGACCATTACTAAATACATAGTTGAGTGGCATTAAATCTATCTACAAAGTGTGCTGCCATCACCACCTTGTAGAATTTATCTTGCCGGACGTGGTGGCACAAGCCCTTAATCCCAGCACTTGGGAAGCAGTGGCAGGCAGATCTTGGTGAGTTCAAGGCCAGCCTGCTCTACATAGTAAGTTCCAGGATAGTAAAGGAGACCCTGTCTCAAAAAAAAAAAAAAGATAGGGTCACACTATGTAGCCCAGGCTGGCCTTGAACCTATGCCAGTCCTCTGGCCTCAACCTCCCAAGGGCTAGGATTACAGGTTGTATGTACTACAATGCTTGGCTTTTCTTTGGGGTATTTGCTTGTTGAGACAGAGTCTCACATAGCTCAGGTTGGCCTAGAACTTGATATGTAGCTGAGGATGACCTTGAACTTCTTATCCTCTTGCCTCTACTTCCCAAGTGCTGGGATTGCAGGT